AGCCCACAGGTGTCCCCTGCCCCCTGCAGTAACGGGGTTCCCGTACCCCGCCACGGGAACGGCCGTGGCCTACCGAGGGGCACACCTACGGGGCCGAGGACGCGCCGTCTACAACACCTTCCGAGCCGCGCCGCCGCCACCGCCCATCCCCGCCTACGGCGCGTGAGTACCGGGGGGCTGCTGCACCTGCCTGGCCACAGGCTCTGTCCCAGCCCCAGGCTGTCCTGCTGCCCTCAGGGTGACCCTCACACTCACCAGCCTCCTGTACACCAAGGCACAGGACATTATTCCAGCTAGGGTGGCTGGTTTAATGGAAATTGGCTCCCAGCAGGTGCAGCTGTGATGGCTTTGGTCACAAACACAGCCGTGGCCATCTGTGGCTGCTTGGCCACTCCCAGCAGAGATCCTGCCCTGGGATCCTCCTCTGGCATGTCCTACCCTTGACAGTGCCCTCTGCGTGTCCCCAAGTCCCAGCCCAGCTGTGCCTTTGGGGCCTGGAGAGCCAGTCCTTGCCAGCCAGCTGTGGGGCAGTTCAGCTCCCCCCATTCACTGCCCTCACCCCACTCCCCTCATCCAGGGGCGCTTGCCGGGCTCTGATGCCTCCGCCTCATTTCCAGGGTCGTCTACCAGGACGGGTTCTACGGAGCTGAGATCTATGTAAGTGACACGGTGCCCGGGGCTGGGCTGTGAGGGGGACCCCATGCCAGCACAGGGGACAAGTGGTGTCACACGGGTGGGCTCTGCACCCCCAGCCCCTTCCCCTGGGCGGCAAGAGCATGAACCCAGTACAGTCTGGGTGGCACACACCACACAGCATCCTGTGCCCAGTCCTGTGGCCCTGCCAGCCCCCTTGCAGGGCTGGTACCACGGGGGATTTATGGCCTCAGTTCCTTACACCCGCGTTTAACCTCCATGTCTGAGGAGCCAGCGGCGATATTTCAGGCGGGCACTGAAGGATTTATCTAATGTGACACCTCATTAAAATGAGCGGGGAGGTGACAGTCTCTTCTCTGGAAATTTAATTTTTTAAGGTTAATGTTTGTGAAAGCCCCTGGGGAATGGTAATGAGGCTGATGCGTGCCCAGTGGCACTGGCCCCAGCTCCCCGTGGGCCCCACACTACTCTGTGCAGTGCCATGGGGCACCCAGCCCCCCCTGCTGCAGCCCCCCAAAGTGGGTGCAGCCCCTTGACCAGTCTCTCCTCCCTGCAGGGGGGCTACGCTGCCTACAGGTACGCCCAGCCCGCAGCAGCAGCGGCCGCGTACAGTGACAGGTAAGCACCGGGCGTCACTCCTGGGGGAGCCCCGTGTCACCCCCTGCGCTGCCCACCCTGACACCCCCTGCTCCTGTGGGACAGGACAGCGGAGCCAGGCGAGCAGGGACCCCGTGCGCCCCTCAG